ACAGTAGGGCCCCACTTATATGGCAGGTTAGGTTCCAGGCTACCGCCGTAAAGTGGAACACCCTTTTTTTTCCACTTATAAATGCATACAAATACTAGATAACAAGTTTACACTAACATATATTGAGTTAGCAATAGAACTAAGCATCAAAAAACAATAAAAAATACAATACACACATAGTGCACTCATTACTTACCTTAAAATATTTATAGTCTTAATCTAGGGTAGACAAGTAGTATTTATTGTAAGAAATCAAGTGTGGTGTGTATGGTAGTCAGCCGGGCTAACATACCAGGCCACCCCACCTACACATAATATTCTGACATTTAACCCTTTGACTGTCGCAACCCCCAATCCTGAGGTGTCTCCTGGTGTCGCAAAATTTAAAAAAAAAAAAATTATTTTTACTTATGAAATGATAGAGAATCTTTTCCCGATTGTAATGACACAAAAAAACGAAATTTGATGGAAAAATGACGGAATTATGCTGTCGCGAAGTTAGCGACTTCGGCGCTGTTTACAAATCGGCAATTTCGCCCACTTTGAGCCCTATTTTCGGCTAATTCCCTTGTTCCAGTCGCCCAAACTCATAGCTATTTCTTTAGAACTCCATTTTTTCTATCGATTGAGTACAAGAAACTGCCCATTTACCGATTTCAGCTACCTAATAATGTGGTCAGAAATTTGCAATTTGGCCAATTTCACGAAAACTAAAAAATATGACAATTTCAAAATAAGGTCCAGAATGAACAATGCAGACATTCCTGCTCTAAAATAACATTCTCTTTGTTCGTCAGTCACGTCTCCAGGCCCCTCTGATATTACTCTTGCTTTCTATTTTGAATTTTTATTCAAACAAAAAATAGAAGACTTACTATTATGCAAACTACTGCAATACTGTAATAATTGTACAAATAACATCAACCCATTCATGACTGCATATTAGAATGGCTAGTTGGACATTTATTGGACAATGGCATCATTTGTTTACTTTTGAACATTGGCAAAAATCAAACATTTCCCCTACTTTGAGCTCCATTTCTAGGTTCTTTTTATAGTAAAATCGATCAAAATCACCTCTACTTCTATAATATGTTTTCCATTCTATCAAATGAGACCAAGAAAACGAGAATACAACCATAAATACTATACGAAAATAGACCACAAAGTCGGCATTTTAATTAAAAAAAACGGTCGGAGTTTTTTTTTTCTCATTATGCACTGCGTGCTCCAGGATTTTTTTTATATGGTGCACACTGACCACACAGACCCATTCTCTCACATGTGGGCCTACCAGCTTTCTCCTGCTTGATTTGAAGCCGCTAGAATTTATGAGTATATATACGTCAAACATGGTACCTCGTAAGACGTATATATACGGCCGCGACAGTCAAAGGGTTAAGCATCCCAGAGCGATAAAATACATATACAGTTTACTCATTACTTACCTTAAAATATTTGTAGTCTTAATCTAGGGTGAGATGAGTAGTATTTATTGTAAAAAATCAAGTGTGGTACGTATGGTAGTCAGCCGGGCTACCATACCAGGCCACCCCACCCACACATATATTCTATGATATTTAAGCATCCCAGAGCGATAAAATGTACATACACTTAACTCATTACTTACCTTAAAATATTTGTAGTCTTAATGTAGGGTCAGGAGTAAGTAAATGAGATAAAACAAATAAATGAGAGAGAGCAAGAATGAGTGCATGAGAGAGGACAGGCACAGAGTTATGTAAACAAACCAAGCGAAGGTAAGTTTTGTAAACAAACAAAGTGTACACATCTGGTTTGTGTACAAGTTACTTTTTGTACAGGTTGTTTCTACATTGATATGGTAGAATAAATAAAGAACAACACTCCCATTCTCATGTAACACCATTTTTAGAAGAAATGATGCTCTGAGTGAAGGCAATGGGAATAAGTCACTCTGACTGACTTTTTAGGGTTATCCTAGGTTCTCTACACATATGCTGTTATGTATGATAATCTATGTAACTGTATTTGTGTATACCTGAATAAACTTACATACAAAAGGAATAATTTTCTACAGTTACCCCAAGTAACACATTTTCTCTTATGTTAGATTAGAGAAAATGTTATTCTTGCCATCACTTGTACAAGTTATCTGGCTACCACATCTCATATTTATGTTTATTTATTTTATTGTGGGGTGTATTTATCATCTTTATATGTTATGTATCATGTTTATTATATAATTTTGAAAAAAATATCATGGATGGATTAATGAAAATGTGTATATTAACGTAATATACGACATTTAAATGAGACTTGGTGATTATTATTATCATTACTAATATGACGTCTGGAGACATAAAACACTCTTACTGATTTTAATGTGTACCTGCATGCCAGCACAGTATGTAAGTTTATTTAAGTACAGGTATACATAAGTATAATTATCAGAGTATATATAAAATATGAAATAATTTTTAAAAACACTTAAAATTTTGGAGTTTCCAGACATAATGGAGAGACTTAGTGCTTATGGATCTCACAGAGAATGTAAACAAACCAGGTGGGGTGCGGTGACCGTATTAGAAAGTCAGGTGGGGGAGCCGTATAGCGAGTTTTGGTCATAATTTGAAATGACCGTATTAGGGGAACGTCGTAAAGCGGAACGCCGTAAAGCGGAACGCCGTAAAGCGAAACGCCATAAAGCGGGGCCCTACTGTACCTGACCAGCCAGGCTGTGGTTCATACATCAGTTTGTGTGTGGCCTGGTTGATCAGACCCTGATCCACCACAAGGCCTGGTCTCAAACCAAGCCATGGGTCATTGACCCCAGAAACCCTCTCCAAGTATACTCCAGGTTAGAAAAGGCATATGATAGGGTCGATAGGGAAGCAATGTAGCAGATGTTGCAAGTGTGTGGAATAGGTAGTAAGATAATAAATGCTGTAAAGAGTTTTAATGAGAATAGTGAGGTTCAGTTTAGGGTGTATAGGCCTTAGAGAGGGATGTGTAACGTCACCATGGTTGATAAATATATTTATGGATAGGGTTTTAAAGAAGTAAATGCTAGGGTGATGGGGAAAGTGGTAGGATTAAAATATGCAGAAACAAATACATAACAGGAGTTGACAAAATTACTTTTTGCTGATGCTATTGTGCTTTTGGGAGAATCTGAAGAGAAGTTGCAAAGGTTAGTGGATGAGTTTGGAAGGGTGTGTAATAGAAGAAAGTTGAAGTGAACATAGACAAAAGTAAGAAGATGAGGGGTATCAAACAAGTTAGGTAAAAAGAAATTTAATATCAGATTGGAGGGAATATGGAAGATGTGAATGTGTTCAAATATCATGAAGGATAAGATAAATCATAGAATTGATGAAAGAAAAGGTGAGTGGTGCTTCGAGGTATCTGTGGAGACAAAAAACATTATCCATGGAGGCAAAGGGACTGCATGAGAGGATAGTGGTACTAACACTATATGCATGTGAAGCATGGGTTGTGAATATTGAAGTGTGGAGGCAGTGGAGATGTGAATATTATGCAGAGAATTCATAATGTGGAAATTAGGAGGTGTGGACTTACTTAAAGTATTATTCAGAGGGCTTAGGAGTGGGTTGTTGAGGTGGTTTGGTCCATTTAGAGGATGGAGCAAAATATGATGACTTGGAGGGTGTATAAATCTGTAGTGAAGGGAAGGGGGGTAATGGTCGTCCTAAGAAAGGATAAAGTAAAAGAGGTTTTGTATGCAAGGGGCTTGGACATACAGCAGAAATGTGTGAGCATGTTAGATAGGAGTGAGTGGAGATGAATGGCTTTTGGAACCTGATGAGTTGTTGAAGTGTGGATCAGGGCAATTTTTTGTGAAGGGATTCAGGGAAACTGGTTAGCCAGACTTGAGTCCTGGAGGTGGGTGGTACAATACTTGCATTTTAAATGAGAGGGTTGGATATTTGTTGTTCAGAGAGACATTTAAGCTATCATATGTGCTCGCCTCTTCAAAGACAGTGATAGTGTAAATGATGGTGAAAATATATTTTTTTTTTGGGGGGTGGGGGGTCACCCTGTCTCTGTGGGAGATGGCCAGCATGTTAAAAAAAAAATATAAAAAAATCACCATCCTTGTCCCTGGTGCATGCAGATTTAATATTCTGACTCATCAGAGTAGTAGATATTAGTACCACCACCTAACTGATCAGGCCTACAGTTATGTATGGCTGTGTAACCAGTTATGGTCTATGAAGAAGTCCAAAGGATATTCATTATTTTCAAGAACTTCATAAGGCAGATCAAGCATTTTTATAACTGCCATATTTGTACTATTTTCTGGCCTTAAACCAAACTGGCAAAGGAAGGAGTAAACTTGCTTATGAATTATTTTTCAAAGAATTTTGAGAGTAATGACAAGTTGGATATTGTCCTATAATTATTTACCTCAGCTGGATCACCTCAATTGTGCAGATTCTGATGATTTGTTGAACAAGTTGCAATAGTGGGTGACAACACTTAAGTTGCTTTTTTGTAGATTAGTGATGGTAAATTAATTAGGTTTCCTGTCTTGTTTTTCAGTGAATTTATTATAACCTGTGACTTGCTTATTTATCACAAAACATGAGTTAAACAACTTAACTGAAGCACAAACTACTAATACTACATTTACCAACTGCTACTGCTGCTGCTGCTGCTTGCTGTTACTGTTATTGTTTTGGCAAGAAATACATGATCATCATAATTCAAAGACCCTCTAAATTACAACATCCCCATCGCTCCTGAATACAGACACTATACTTTGCACTTCAGTATTTGGGTCCAGTTAACCAGTTTCCCTGAATTCCTTCATTAATGTTACAGTGCTTGCATCAAATCCAAAAGAACACTTGTATCCACTTCACTCTAACTGCTAAAATTTATCTCATTTATTCCTTGATCAAAAATACTATTGTGTGATAAAATAACTTGACTAACATTAGTTGTATCATGATAGAAACCCAGTGGATAAAACAGTACCATGAAGTTATACTTACTGATTTCAGCTGGTCATGATTCAGTGAATCAAATCCTTCCCTTGATAAAGCAGCATCAATGCAATGCAGAATATGTGCATGGTCCTTCAATCGGTTGCGGCGTCTTCCCCAAACTGATCTCCCATGAAGCCTTAGCAATCCATTCTGTGAAGTATTGAAGTTCCCATAATGGGTGATAACTGGATATTACACCAGATATGTGTGGTGTGAATATAATGCAGAGAATTTGTGGTTTGGAGATTAGGAGGAGGTGTGGGATTACCAAAACTATGATCCAGAGGGCTGAGGAGGAATTACTGAGATGGTTTGGACATGTGTAGAGGATGGAACAAAACAGAATGACTTTGAGAGTGTATAAATATGTAGTGGAGGGACGGTAGGGTAGGGGTCGGCCAAGGAAAGGTTGGAGGGAGAGAGTAAAGGAGGTTTTGTGTGCAAGGGGCTTGGACTTCCAGCAAGCATGCGTGAGCGTGTTAGATAGGAGCAAATGGAGACAAATGGTTTTTAGGACTTGACGTGCTGTTGGAGTGTAAGCAAGGTAACATTTATGAAGGGATTCAGGGAAACTGGTAGGCCGGACTTGAGTCCTGGAGTGAGAAGTACAGTGTCTGCACTCTGAAGGAGGGGTGTTAATGTTGCAGTTTTATAACTGTAGTGTAAGCATGCCTCTGGCAAGACAGTGATGGAGTGAATGATGAAGGTTTTACTTTTTCAGGCCACCCTGCCTTGATGGGAAACAGCCGATGTGTTAGAAAAAATAAATGTACACTAAACTTTCTTATAAAGCAGCACTACATAATGAAATTTTGTTTAAATGTGACTGAAAAAGTGCATCATTTCTTTTGCTTGGGAGATGCATCAAGTTATGCCCAAAATCTTTGTAGTCCATGCTGCATAATATTTCCTCTCTAATCTAAATAGAATTTACTGATCAAGTCTTTGGAGAGGTACAGCTCTTCCTCACATTACCCCTCCAAGCCACCAACAGTTACTTTTTGTGGGAACATCAGGGCCGTGTATGGCAACAGCGGGGAATGCCGCTCACCCGCTAAACTTTGGTTTACTTGCATTAGAAGGTTTCTTGTTTTTTCACCATTTTATTTTTTCACATAACTTATGTGGCCTGTGAGACCAAAGTAAGTTGCATTGTCCATATATACACTCGTAGTATACAACACAATAAGCGCACAAACATAATTATCAATATATTGTTTACAAAACTTCTTTACACAAACAATACAAAAAATTGTTTATTACTATTATTCTATAATATACAGTGGTACCTTGGGATACGAACTTATTTCGTTCCAGAAGCTTGTTTGAGTGCTGATACCGAAGGAATTTGTTCCCATAAGGAATAGATTACTCTGTTTCAGACCCCCAAAGATACACTTACAAAAGCACTTACATAAATACACTTACATAATTGTTTGCATTTTGAGCTGTTCGTGTCCTGAGGTGCCACTGTACTGTGGACCCCTGGTTCGCGATGCTATTGGTATCTGATAAATCCGGTAACCGATGCATTTTATTGCAGAGAATTTGCCTCGGTTCCTGTTACAAAACCCGGTATGCGATGCGGTTCGTACGAGACGTGTCCACGTGTGGCCTGAACTGCCCTGTGTGTGCCAGGGTTTACAAGCCAGCCAGTGTGCGCGCATCTAAGGATACATTCGGTACATTCCATATTATCCACATTATCACTGTTTTTGGTGCTTGTTTCTGCAAAATAAGTCACCATGGGCCCCAAGAAAGCTCCTAGTGCCAACCCTTTGAGACCAAGGGTGCTAATGACTGTTGAAATAAAGACAGAGATAATTGAAAAGTACGAAAGTGGAGAGCGTGTGTCGGAGCTGGTCAGGTTGTATAGTAAACCCCAATCAACCATCTCTACTATAGTGAGCAGGAAAATGGCAATCAGGGAAGCTGTTCCTTGATTGACTAGTTACACCATGCATTTGCCCCCACTGTGAAAAATCACCTCCTGGAAAATCAATTGGACCTTAAGTGCCTCTTGGTATTAGACAATGCTCCTGGTCATCCTTCAGACTTGGGAGAGTGACTTTCTGGGGACATGAGCTTCATTAAGGTCAAGTTTTTGCCTCCTAATACCACTCCTCTCCTGCAGCCCATGGACCAGCAGGTCATTTCAAACTTCAAAAAACTCTACACAAAAGCTATGTTTCAAAAGTGCTTTGTAGTGACCTCAGACACTCGATTGACTCTAAGAGAGTTTAGGAAAGATCACTTTAGTATCCTCAGTTGTGTAAACCTTACAGATAAGGCTTGGGAGGTAGTGACTAAGAGGACCTTGAACTCTGCTTGGAAGAAATTGTGGCCAGAATGTGTACACAAAAGGGATTTTGAAAGGTTTGAGGCTAACCCTGAGAAGCATATGCCAGTTGTGGAATCAATTGTGGCACTGGGGAAGTCCTTGGTGTTGGAGGTTAGTGGGGAGGATGTGGAAGAGTTGGTGGAGGAGGACAATGAAGAACTAATGACTGATGAGCTGCAAGATCATCTTCAACAGCAAGAGGCCAGACCTAAGGAAACTGCTTCGGAGGAGGGGAGAGAGAAATTGAAGAAGTTGCCTACTTCAAAGATTTCGGACATGTATGCAAAATGGCTTGAAGTGCAAACCTTTATGGATGAAAATCACTCTCACACAGCTACTGTGAGCCGTGCTGGTGACTATTACAATGACAATGTTGTGAACCAATTTAGACAAATCATAAAGGAACGGGAGGTACAGGCCTCTATGGACAGATATGTTGTGCAACAGAGGTCCAGTGACTCTCAAGCTGGTCCTAGTGGCATTAAAAGAAGAAGGGAAGTAACCCCAAAAAAAGGACGTGCTACCTAAAGTCCCAGTGGAAGGGGATTCCCCTTCTAAACATTAACAACTTCCACACTGTCCCCTCCTCCCATCCCATCAATCATCACCAGATCTTCAATAAAGGCAAGTGTCAGTTTGTGTGTATTAAATATTTCATGTGGTAAATTTTTTTTTTTTTCATATTTTGGGGTGTCAGGAACGGATTAATTTGATTTCCATTATTTCTTATGGGGAAAATTAATTCACCTTACGATAATTTCAGCATACGATGAGCTTTCAGGAATGGATTAATATCATAAGGTGGGGGTCCACTGTACTTAACTCTAACTATAGATTCACTATAAATCTTATGATTACAAGCATTGATCCTGATACCAACCTCTTATTGAATGACTTAAATGAATCAAACAGTAACTGTAATTACTATACAGCAGAACAATCAAAGGCACTTCTCAGATCCAACAACAACATAACTGTTTTTAACTACAATATCAGATCTTTAAGCAAACATTACGATGACCTCATAGCATTACTAAATTCCCTGCATGCCAGTATGTCCATCATTACTCTCACCGAAACCTGGCTAAAACCTGATACTACAGATGTCTATGCCATTCCTGGTTACACAGCCATCCACAACTGTAGGCCAGATCAACAAGGGGGTGGCACGGCTGTCTACTACTCAGACCAACTAGAATGTATCACTAATACTTGCACACGGGATGAACATGGGGAATATATAATAGCTAAATTCAAATCCAAAAACCTACAAAAACCTCTCACAGTGATAAACATCTACAGAGTACCACAGTCAAACAGCCATTTTAGTGAAAACCTAGGAAGTATGATAACTGATGCACACATGAATAAAGATCACTTACTACTCTCAGGTGACTTCAATATAAATCTCCTGCAAGACCAAGACCCACACGTTACTGAATTCACAAACACTATGAGTAACTGCTTGTTGCTACCAACAGTAACAAAACCTACAAGAATTACAGAGACTAGTGTTTCCCTACTAACCAGCCTGATAAGAAGGGCTAAAAAATTGTATTATGAGAACAGATTATCCAGCTTAAAAGGTGATATAAAAAAGACCTGGAAAACCCTATCAGAAATTCTAGGAACAAAAAAGATATCACGAAATAGTGTAATTGAACTAACAAAACCAGATGAACCCCAACTCCCACCAACTGAAACAGCAAACAGACTCGATGATTTTTTCTCCACAATAGGAAAAAAAACCTTGCCAATAAAATCCCAAGCTCAAATAACCTGCCCAATGACTACCTCACAGGCATTATCTGAACACACTGTTCCTAGCTCCGACTAACCCAACAGAAGTCTCCCTTATTATTAACACGCTAAAAAACAAGACAGGAGATTTAAATACCTTACCACCCTTTATATACAAAAAAGAGTCGCAAGTGCTGTTGCCAATCATTGCATCACTCTTCAACCAAACCATCGAATCCTCTACCTTCCCTACAGTTCTCAAAATAGCTAAGGTAACCCCGATCCATAAAGGAGGAGACCAAACAGACTTGAATAACTATAGGACAATATCCAACTTACACCCTCTCTCTAAAATCTTCGAAAAATTAATTCATAAGCGAATCTATTCCTACCTCATCTCCCACAACATACTCAACCCCTGTCAGTTTGGGTTCAGGCCTAATAAAAATACGAATGATGCTATTATACACATGCTAGAACAAATATACACTGCACTAGAGAAAAAAGAAGTCCCACTGAGGATCTTCATTGATTTATGTAAAACTTTTGATACAGTTGGCCATGACTTGCTCCACATAAAATTGTCGCACTATGGTATAAGAGGGCACTCCCTCAACTACGTAAAGTCATACCTCAGCAACAGAAGCCAATATGTGAACACAAATGGAGCAAACTCTTCTACACAACCAATTACAGTTTTGTCCCACAGGGAAGTGTCCTTGGCCCTCTTCTCTTTCTTGTTTACATAAATAAATGACCTACCAAATGCATTTGCAGATGACACTACATATGTCTTCTCTCACCCGAGCCCAGTCATGCTAGCCAATACTGTGAATACCGAATTACAGAAAATATGTACCTGGATGAGGACTAACAAACTTACTCTCAACATTGAGAAAACCTACTTCATTCAGTTTGGTAACAGAGCTACAGATGTTCCTTTTAACATAATGATAAATGGATCACCTATCACAAAGCTCACAGAGGGAAAATTCTTAGGAATCCACCTTGATAATAGACTCGCATTTCAAACACATAAAGAACACATAAGAACAAACACATAAAGAAC